AATAATTCATTTTGTTTAAAAGATAATATTTTGTTTATTATTATTAAAATTTGAGAAATTCAAAATCATCTTTTAACTTAATAATTATAAAAAATTTCTTTAATAAGTTACTTTATTCTCAATAAAAAAATGACCAATTTTTAATTATTTACTATTTATTACAATGATTGATGTTAAAAAATGACTGTGAGATTGATATCATTTTTTAATCAAGGTATTGGATTCAAATTTAATAAATGAAAAAAAAAAAGTTGTGTCATGAGAGGAATCCTTGTTAAAAGTGGGAAGTCAAATCTTTCCATCAAAATTAGTCATTAAAATAATTGACAAATATTTTACATTAATAATTTAATTAAGAAATCTTTTGAAAACTATTATCTCTGGTCATTTATATATATAAATACAAACTTATAATTTAATGTTCGTTTAAATACAAACTTAAAAAATGTATAGTTTTCTGTAGATTTGAAAAACGAAATCATTTTTATGTTTTTCTATAATTAATATACAATTCAATGAATATATAAATTAGTATCTATCTAGATATTAGGTTATGCATTTTTAATAAATTACAAGAAACAAATCATTAAATCCATATATTATTTGATGATGGATTATTTTAACTTAATTAAAAAAATTTAATTTAAATTATTAGATTATGTTTCTTATAACCTGTCTCAATTGATCAATTAAATTAAACATATAATGTAGTATCTTGACATCTAATATATATATATATATATATATATAAAAGGAGGGTAAAAAAAGGGAAAGGTATAAATGGAAAAATGACAATACGTTAAATTAGTCTTTTAAATTACAAATGACATCAATTTAACTCTTGAAATTATGAAAACATTATTTTAACTTTTAATATTATCAAAAAAATAAGTATATATATATATATGTAAGGGTGAAAAAATATATCTATAACATATAATAAAGAAAATTGACTAATTTGGTGTATATATTTTTCAACGATTTTATTCTAAAATTTTTAAATAATAAAAAAAAATATTAAAACTAGTCATTCTTACAATAATAAATTTAAAATTTAAGACTTTTAAATTTGAAAATTAATTATAACATTAATTGATTTATTAAATATTTATAATTTTTAAATATTTTTATTAAATAAAATATAGAGAGATAATGTGTTTCAATCCCTCTAATTATGTAGTATGTTAATATGATAAAAAAATGAGAAAAGGAATAAATGAAAAAATATTAAATAAATAATACAATAAATTAGTCATTAAAATTATAAATGTTTGTCATATTATAAAAAAATTCATAAGTACTTTACGGAGATAAAAAAATAAGAAAAAATTAAAATAAATTTTAATTTATAAAGAAGTTAACAAAAAAGAGTTTTTATAAATTAACTTATATATATGTTAATTTTAAATTATAAGGAAAATTATTTAATTTTTATTTATTACAAGTATTTAATATCTTAAAATAAAATGAAGAAAGAAAAATAGGAATTGTGTAATTTATTATATTATTTAATTTAATTCTCAAAACTATTAAAATATAATTTAATTTTAAAAATGATCAAGTAATAATTATTTGAATCTTCATTTTTTTTAATTTGTGGAATTAAATAACTGCACTTTATAATAGTGGAACTAATCAACATTGAAATTAGCCATTAAGGTTAGCATAATGGTTGAGTAGGAAGGAATTAGGATAGCCTGGTAGGTAAAAGTATGAAGACCTAAGTTCAATCTTCATTACGAGTAAAATTGTGTTTTCTATTTTATATTTGTGTCTGAATCTTAAAATATTAATATTTTAAAATAAAATTAATATAAAATAATTATTTAATTTAATATTTTATAGTTAAAACTTTTTTTTAAAGGTTCAGAATATATTTCGGAAGATCCAGAATTTTTCATGATCAATTGTTCATGTTGCGTACGACAGGTTGTCAATTGCATGTTATTGCTAACTTCCCTGACAGATGGCACTGACACACTCCACCGTCTATATTAACACAATTTTTATGACAATTTGAAAGTGTTTTATACACAAATTTTTTAAAAAAAATTTGACATCTGAATTCGAAAATGTTAGTTTTTCTATTTAAAAAAATAAATTTGTTAATAATATTTTTTAATATATTAAAATTTAATGAAAAAATTATTATTTTATAATTTAACATTCTATTTAATGACTTTTTCTTAATTTTATAATTTTTAATTATATATATATATATATTACGAAGGATGTGTTAGAGTGTCTTGTTAGTACTCATCTTCACATAAATGTTTTTTATGAGTTTTCTACAAAATTATTCTTATAAGAGCAAAGAGAAACTAGCTTGTTTAAATGAAAATAATGTTTTAATGTAGTAAAAGTGTCATTATTTTTATCTATTTTTTAATACAATAAAAATCATTGATTTTCAAGTAATATTTATAAAAAAATTTAAAGACATTTATAATCAATCAAATAAATTTTCATAATTTGTATGAATCATAATTCTCATAAAGTATGATTTTTAGACATAAAAAATTGTTGTATATTAAATGTCTTATTAATTCATTACTTATTGTTGATATTTAAAATTTTATAATATTTATTTCAAAAATTATATTTTATATTAATCAAAAATAGAATACAATTAATATTAAAAAATAGAATATTTATATGTTGTCCATGAGGAATTCAAGATATAATTGTCGTGTACTAGATTTAATTTTTTTAAATCTTGTATAATTTTATTAATCTTGTTTTTTAATACATGAAATTAAAAATATGAGTAAATTACTTTATCCTTTTATGTAAGATAAAAGTATTATATTATTCTTCCCTTTTATGTTAATAAATATTTTGTGGTTTTGAATATAAAAAATGTTGGGCCCGATAGTCCACCTGTTTCTCCACCATAGTATGATATTGTCCGCTTTGGACTAGGCCCGCACGGTTTTCTTTTTGGGCTCTTTCCCAAAAGGCCTCATACTATATGGAATGGTGGACATCTTTATAAACTAGCCAATGTTTCTTCATTTTACAGATGTGGGACTTGGGATGAATCCCAACAAAAAATATATACTTTTATACTTGAAGGATAGAAGAAGTATTATTAAAATATATAATAAATTATACTTTTATCTCTTAAAAATTTGAATAATATACTATCACTTTCCTATTATATTAAAGTGTATAATTTGGAGAACTCAATTTATCATCACTAAATATTTATTATAAGAGTTTAAAATATATTTTTATTAAAATATATATTAAGATATTTTTAGTTCATTGTTATTTAATTACTGGATAATGAAGATATCAGGTAGGTGAATAATACTCAAACGAAATTGTTATTCATGCTATATCTTACAAGGATTGAGGATTGTTTGGAGAAAGAGATTCTTGTCAATAGAATGTTACTTTGACTTAATGTACATATTGTCTTAATATCTTTAATAAATCAACCTTATCTAATCTATCATAAGGAGTTGATGGAAAACCTTGGGATATCACTATGAAGCATACCCTATGAAAAGGAAATGTGTGTACTAACTTTGTTACATAAGTGCGTTCAAACTCTGATATTGCACTATTAGAATTGGAGGTTCCCTCAATTGAGTTGCACTACCAACTTTTAGCTAATGCAAGATAGATGTTGTATTTGATGTTCTATTTCTCAGTTTTTTTAGTTTATTGATAAGTGTGAATTTACTTTAATTTTATGTTTAAGTTGACATTCATTCATCATAGTTTTAACAAAAAATCTTCAACTTATCCCCTACTTTTATTCATCTAGATGGTAATACTTATTATATAATGATTAAGTTATTTTGTTGGGAATTATGATTTTTACTATAGATGTGTTCTTCCTTGTTTTGTAGGTCTTGAAAGTTATGAATTTGAAGAACTTAGGAGCCAAACAACTCATTCCTTTAAAAAGAGCTAAACGTTTTCATGGGCGTAAGCATCAGTAGAGCAGAGGAACCAAATGACTCACCCGTTTCAAAAAGTTGGGAATAAAGTGGTGCATTTCAAAATATTTTTTTCATTATGAATATTGAAGAATGTAAATTATGTAATTTATTAAATAAAACAATATTAAAAAGACAAAATTTTAAAATAGAAAATTATAATATGAAATTATTTAAATTGTATCCTCATTTCTCTGGATCTAGAGTTGATTAAAAAGTAACTTACTTAAGTACATATTACCTAAAGGTATAAGAATCGATCACATTCAGCAAATGAGTAAAAAAGGAAGGGGGGAGGAGCAAGGGGCACATATTTGCATTAGGACAGACATGCTGTTACAAGTTCGCCTCTCACTATTATTATTAGTATCTTTGTATGCTAAATAATTTGGTGTATAAATCACAATATTAATCCATGTGGGAATCCGTGCCTATTATAATATCTCATATTTACAATATAAGCAAACTATTGTGCCGGTTACATACGGACTTAAGGCAAAAGTCCAATGATTTGACTTTGAAAATTATGAATATCTACAGTAATTATATCAGATATGATCATGTTAGGATTTTTAAAAATTATTTCTAATTAATCCGAAATTCTGATACACTAAAATACAAGTATATATAATCTCTTTTCAGAGTTAAGATGATGCAAGTTACTATTTGAATGTTTTGAATTTTCACAACCGCTAGATTTTACTCTTGTAATAATTGTATCAGGCTAGATAAAAAATATATAATTGTTAATTTTAGCAAAAGAAACATATACAGAAAAGTTAGCAGAGTATCCATTTTGTGCATAGAGACCAGAGAGATATGTTTGTTGGGGGCACTTTTAGAGGTGGAGAAACGGAAAGCAGTAAATCGAAAAAGTTATTCCATAGGGGCAAGGTTTGCATGTTCCTTGTTGCTCTTTTCCCTGTTCACGATCACACTTTGTTAGTTTTTGCCACCGAATAATGAATGACCCTGTTACAATTTGGTATGTTGACGCTTCCCAACTCATATAAATACGTACAAACAGAAATATATATATATATATATATATTATTTGAATAATAGAGACATATGCAGAGCCATAAGTTTTGGGTCGTGTGTCCTATTGGTGGAGGAATGCTTGTTACCTACTCCTTTTTAAGTTCCCAAATTCCCCCAACCCAACCCAACCCAAACGTATCAGAATAAAGTCCTCTCTCTACAACAGCTGCAACAATTCCACACCCTCAAATGGAGAGGCACAAATGCAAGCTCTGCTCCAGAACATTCTCTAATGGCAGAGCACTCGGTGGCCACATGAAGTCTCACTTAGCCACCCTTCCTCTTCCGCCCAAACCCCAGCCTTGTAATTCCTCTTCTTGGGAAGATGAAGATGAAGATGAAGATGAAGAAAAGGCTCTGATTTATTATGGGCTGCGAGAGAATCCAAAGAAATGTTTCAGACTCGCAGATCCCGAGTTCGACACGGGCTCCGTCGTTCAAGACAGAGAGAGCGAGACCGAGTCAAAGAACCCAACAGGCCGACGATCCAAGCGGACCCGACGGCCCGCCAACTTGGACCAGCCCAAGAGGCCCAAACTGAGCTTCATGGAGTCGCCAGAGCCTCCCGCCCTCAGTTCGGTCTCCGACACTTCCCCCGAGGAAGACGTTGCCATGTGTCTCATGATGCTGTCCAGGGACCGGTGGATTAACAACACCACCCATGTTAACGTTAATGCTGTCGCGGCCCAGGGATCAGATGAGATCAAGCTCACCAGAGTCCGCGGCAACCACCACCGCTGTCACGGCTGTCACAAAACCTTTCGATCTTCACGCGCATTGGACAGTCACACAAGCGTTTGCCAAGGCTTGGGTAACCATAATAATAAAATCTACCAATGCCCCTTTTGTTCTAAGGTGTTTGGGTCCGGTCAAGCACTCGGTGGACACAAGAGATCTCACCTTGTGCCTTCTTCCTCCTCAAACCTTCAACTCAAAGAGAGCTTCATAGATCTCAATTTGCCTGCTCCTGCTGACGAAGACGACCTTAGCGTTCTTTCTGATGCATGATTTGATGTTTTTTTAATAGTAGGTGAGACCAATATTTCATTGTTTGCTATATCAAATGCTTTTGACAGTACAATTATAATTTTTGTTTTCACCAACCGTCAGTTATTATAGTACATGGTAGTAACAGTTTTGGCTCGATTTACTAGAAGCATTCCTTGTTGCAACTTGCAACTTAAATCAAGTTGATGTGTTTTTTTGGAGAGTTGGTTGTGGACCAACAGAGTACTAAATTGCTTCAATTCCGTTTTTGTGCTCTCATTCTCTTTCACCACCTCTCTCAACTCTGATACAAAGTAAAATTTATTTAAATGGTTTCGTTTTCTTCATGCTTGTCTTCTCTTAAAATTGGGTGATGAAAGATGTCGCTGCTGCAATTCCTTTCCTTTCTGTGAGTTCTGGAGTTAGTTCCGTGACGACCGGGGGATATTAGGAAAAGAGAATCCTTTAATTTTTCTGCCTAATTTTTTAAATAAAATAAAAAATTGGGTGAAGTTAAGCATATTTTTGTTTTATTATCAAAGACTTATCTTTGTTGTGGAAGCTGTGGAACCGGAACCAAGAATGGGTAGAAAGGGGAGACCCCCTAGTGTAGTAATATTTTTATCAAAGAAATGGTCAGATTTATGATAATATGGAATAGGCGCAAATCAAATGCTTAACTAGAGATAATTCTATTTGAGCTAAAACATAAATATATTACCGATGATTAAAAAAATTTAAAGTATTTAAAAAATCATGTGTTGAATATTCAATTTGGAAATTTCTTAAGTTTCAACAATCACAATTCAATTAATCCTTCTTGTTTCATAAAATAATCTTTAACAACTTGGAGGCGTGTGTTTACTTTATGATAGTAACTATGGTTGGAATAGAATTAAAAAAGCTAGCGCTGGCCTTTTTTCCGCCATCATGTGATGTCTTGCTTCACGCAAATTTTAGTGGAATGGCGATAGTGTTTTGTTTTTTTTTAGTACGAAGCAATAATGATTTTTGGTAGAGCGTGATGTAATTTTTAAGACATTGGAAGGTTTCTGAATTAGTAGAAATGGATTAAAGTAAAGGGAGGGGTGGGCGAACGTGAAAGTGAGTCATGGTCATGGTTGGCTTGGCTCATCGCTTTCGACACATAAAGACAGGCTTGGTCCTATGTAGCTTGCTTAATCTGAGGTGAGTTGGAGTACCCAAGATTGAAAGGGTGTAATTTGCCCATCAGAAAACATCAAAAGGGAATCGACAAAATTTTCGTTACAATTTTGTCGTATATTTCCAGCATTCCTGCCACATTGTGCTTATTGCAAAAATCTTTACCAACATTATTCAATACCAATGAAAAACACTTGTATCTCTTAATTAAATTATTGAGAATTTGAATCCTAATTTTAAATATAAAGTACATTATAGTGTAAAGAGAATTATCTTAAATATGAATTAGACTGTATTAAAAAGTGAATATGTGATCTTTGAGAAAGGTTAATTATCATGATTATTATATTATTTAATATCTTAAATAGAGTTGTGGTTAATTAATTTGATGGGTGTAATTAGTTGGTTGACAAGTTAAGTTATAAACGATCATAAATGTATCCACATTTTATTAATATGTTTTATTCTTTACTTATTACTTTTATGATAAGGAGAACTTTTCTTAAGCTAAGTCTAACTATAGTTAAATTTTAAAATATTCAAAAAGGATAACCTCTCTCTTCTTAACCCGATGAGTTATATATTTGTATTTGTGTATAATAAAATCTCATTCTCTAGAGATAATTCCTAAATATTGTAGCATGATTACTTGTGTCCCTAGTTATTGTAATTATATATAGTTCTCAAGGTTAAACTAGTAAGCTTTTGTTCTGGCTAAGTTAATAAATAATCGACACAGTTGTATGTATATGCTTGATTGAAACAAATTAATCTGATCAATTTTAAGTCTAAAGGGTACACAACCCTCAAACCTTAAACACATAAGTGTGAAGACTAAAGAGGCTTATGTAATCGACTAGATAACATTTACTAAATATCTCTTATCCTAAAATATTGTAAAGATAAAAGTTTAAAGACATAACAAAGATAAAATTGTTGCTTGGGTTATGGATTGTGAGGGGGCAATGGATAAAAGATAAGGAATAACCTTTATGTAAAGGGGTACAATTACACATATAGAGACAAATTACTCGTTGAATGCTCTAATAGTAGAAGTTTTTCTCTACTATAACACTAAAAAAATCATGAAAAATCTAAAATGCTATAACAATTGAATGATGAGTAATAGGAATAAATATAAATTTTGTTCTTGTAATTTAGCGCTTTTCATTTTTTGCCCCTATAATTTTATATTTTTTGAATCATTTATGTAAAATCTAAACATTCATTTTTCATTCCTACCAGTCAAATTTTGTTGTAAAAACTTTAACTTGATAACATCATCACATGCTACATAAGTAAAAGATGACACCATCATGTGTTAAGTCTACATAATGGCACATCATCACATGTCATGTCAACATTATATAACAAGTTAACAATAATGTCATGTCAACAACATAATAAAAAGATCAAAAGTGAAAGAAAAAAAATAGGGATGAAAAAAAAAATCCAGGGATGAAAAAAAATAATCTTTTCCTCATTTTTTTTCTTGTTCAATACTATAAGATCATGTACACATTACATAAACACTCAAAATTCTCTCATTTACTACACACCATCCTTTCCTTTTTTAACATGCACATACATCATAGAAAATATATATCTTATGTCTTAATAGTAGTCACCATTAGCCCATCTCAGTTACAACCTCTTTGGACATTGTCTCAATTGTGACTTCAAGGGTAATAGTATAGTCTAACATCGATAAGAGATGTTATAGCATAAAAATAAATTTACAATATAATCATAAATAAGTTCATCAACAACAACAAATAAGTACACAATATAATTATAAATAAACCTTAATAAGCATTTAACCACGAATACATTACCAAAAAAATACCACAAATAAAATAATATAAGTTAATAGGTCAAAGTCAAGGAAAAGTATAAGTAACCAATGAATTAACCCAAAAGGTCAATGCAACTAAATTTGTCATTTAATTTATTGGAGTGGTGGAATGTATGGGTTTATTGTGTGCGTTGGAGAATTGAAAAGTACAACCCAACTAAACTCAATTTGCTTTGGCCGGTTATATAGTTAACCTATTAGGTTGGACTAATTGTGACAACCCTTTTGGGCTACAGTTGAGACGAGTCATGAGTGACTACTATTAAAGTATAGAGTGTGCATTTTTTTTCTTGTAAGGTATATGCATGTAAAAAAGAAAAGAAAAGAATGATGTATGGTGAACAAGAGAGTTTTGAATATTTATTGAATAATGTAAGTGATCTTATATTGTTGAACAACAAAAAATGAAAAAAAGATGAAAAAATTAATTTAAAAAAAATATTTTTAATTTATATTAAATTTATACATTGAATTTAACTTATATAATCCATTTTTATTTTCGTCCATGTATTTTTTATTTTCATTTTTCATCCTTATAAGCTCTTTTTTTTTCTTTCATTTTTCATCCTTGTAATTTTTTTTCTTTCATTTTTGGTCCCTTTATTGTGTCGTTAACATGATACTATGCATAGAATTATTGTTGATGTGGCATGTGATGTCATAAAATCATGTTGACGTGACACATGACATCATATTTTGTTGACGTGGTAGATAATAATGTCATTAAGTTAAGTTTTTGTAACGAACTTTAACAGAAGAAACAAAAAATGAAATATTTGAATTTTACAAAGATGATTAAATTTTTTTAAGAGACGAATAATGAAAAACATTAAACCACAATGACAAAAATTATATATAAATTTAAGTATTAAGGTAAAATTAATATATTATAATTTTATTTACATTATTCGTGAGAAAGTAAAAATAATTTTTTTTTATCAAACAACTCCAATATTTGTTGCAACTTTAGTGTCAAAGTGTGTTTATATGTACCATCACATCAACTATAGACCCAAATAGATTGAGAATCAAATCAAATACAACATACATTCCAGTGTTTTTACATTGGATTTGGGTTATCTTTCACATTATTGAATCTATGATTTTGTCTGTTCATCGCAACTTGGATATGGGTTGTGTATTCTCTCACCGATTTGAGGCTTAGCCTAAAGTTATTATTCACATGATGGACACTTTGGTTCAATTGTATATGCGATGATAGTTATTGGGTAAAAAAAATTTGCTCTATTTTTGTGTGTTTTTCAAATTGCATTTGTTTTTTCAGGGTTGTATTTCAGTTGAGAATAATTTTGTGTTAACAAATGGCCTTAAGCCACATGTGGGTTTTCTGTAAACCCATGAGACTCTTTTCATTTGAGTATGTTTGTTAGTTATGTTCATGAGGAGATATCAAATCAAATACATTATACAATGGAGAGTTTGAATCAAATTAAATATCAAATACATTATACAATCTTGTTTCGAGGATTTCATTGGTTTTTTTTGTTTTCTCAAGGGTATTTTTGGTCATGAAATTTTATTAATGGTCAAGTTGGTGAAGATGGATGCTCACGAAGAGCATTTGAACGTCATAGTGGGACTGGATGAGGGTAAATATTATCAACAACTAATTAATAATTTCTTTCTTCAACTTTTATTTCTATAAATAATGATATCAATTGTCCTGATTGCATAAATGAAAATTCAAACGTGATGGTTCTGACGCGGGAACTGAGGTACACAGTCTAATGAAATTATTGAGTAAGCAATTCTTTATATTCAAACTTTAATATCAATGAAAATTCATATCACAATTCCCATAAAATAGTCTTGTGTTTTTGTTGGTGGTTATTTATTATATATATGTTCCTTTTGATGTTAAATGTGCTAAGGGTGACTAAGGAAGTAGCTGATGAATCTGAAAAAAATTTGGGTAAAAAGAAGCCTGTGGGTAAGGAAGATGCAATTGAGGGAAACAAGGACAATCCTATTATTGAAAATGAAGAAAATGAGTCTAATGATAAGGTTGATGGTTGGTTCATTTAAAAAATTTTGCATCTAGTTTGAATCTTCTATTGCAC